GGTTCTTGCCTCACTGCAATCAGGTTATTCCTTACTCTGTGGGTGAGCTCAGTTCTGAAATAGTCTGGTAAGATAGTTACTCACCCTCATAGTTCTGAGTTAAGGACAGATGGCCCCAGGCAACACTGGTCCGTGCTGGTGAGACTTCCTGTAGCCTCCCCCTTACTCATGCCCCTTTTCTTGCCCTTGTACCTCTTCCCTTAGTTCTCAGGGACTTTCTGCTCCTTTGTTCTTCCAGAGTCCCCTCAGAAAAAATGAATGATGTATTCAATGGCTACTACTCTCAGGGGTACTTGTGTTGAACCAAATATGAGGAGCCTTAGCAAAAAGGAATTGATTTCTAGTATCAAACTTACAGGCATTGACAAAACAGATAAGGAGTATGCTTCAGGAAGAATCATAATAGTGGTGATGAGTGTGTGTGTGTGTGTGTGTGTGAGAGAGTGACTAGGGGGATGCCACCTCGGGCTCCCTTTAGGCACCACCCATGGACATGACCGAACAGGGATCCCAGGTGTCTACAGGTCATGAGACAAATGGATAGAATATTCTTGCAAAGGCTTCGGTGGCTTTGTAAACTCTGCTCACCCAGTAAAACTGTGACCGATTCACCCTTTCAATCCATATGCCCAGTGCTGTATAGACTAGCTGCCATGCTCTCACTCTGTGGGCATTTTTGGTATCTCCTCTCATTCCCACCCCCACCCCCCCCACGAAGGCGCACATATTCAGTGAAGGATAATTGAAAGAAAGGTAGAAAGGTGTGCTCAGAGCTAGGCTACCAAATCCTGGCCCCTATGGACTGGCAAAAAAGATTCAACAGAAAACACATGGGTCTACATCAATGGTTCTCAACCTTAAGTGCTTTTGCCCCCAGAGGACATTTGACATTATCTGGAAACATCGTTAGTTGTCACCCTTGGGAGGAAAGGGGCCCCTTGGCATCTAGTGTGTGGAGGCCAGGGATGCTGCAGAACACCCTGCAATGCACAGGACAGGCTCCCATAAGGAAGAATTATTTGGCCCCAAAATGTCAATAGTGTAGAGGTCGAGGAACTGGTCTAAATGAAGATGGAAAGAGGACTCCAGTTTGGACTTCCAGGACTCCCAGCACTGGACAGTGCTTGCAGAGGGGAGCAGTTCCTTATCCTCTAAATGACTAACTCCTGGGAGTCCTGGAAATGTTTGCACTTGTGTGTGTTCTCCAGGCCCTCCGTGATAGATTCAGGTCTGAGCCTGTTTATAAGTGGTCACTTGTATCATTCAGTAAATTATTCAGCACCAACTATGTCCCAGGCACAGCTCTAGGCAGGACAAGTAACAAACAACACGTACAACAACATAAGTTACCATTTATTGACACTTGGCAGACTTGTGCTTAGCATTTTATGTGAATTGTATCCTCTAATATTGCACAACAACCCTGTAAAGGAACTATTTAACGTAATCCCTGTTTACAGAAGAAGGAAGTGAGGTTGAGGAAGAACCAGTGGCTTGCCCAAGATTGTAAGGAAATGGTGGAAATGCATTGCAAAGTCATGCACTTGGATTCTAGTGGAAATGCATTGCAAAGTCATGCACTTGGATACTCCTAGCCACTGAACTGCACAGAGAAAAGAAAGAGGTTGCCCCTGAAATAGAATCAGGCGTCTGCATGTGGATTAGCCACACTAAATGGTAATTTCCAGGAAATTTCATTCTAACTAAGTTTGATTTTAATTTCAAAGTTTGACTTGCAAGCCCCAAATTCCAGCTCAAAAGAGTGTGGGCTCAAAGACTGGATTCTGTGTCCCTAGATGAGAAGCTCTGGTTTCGGGTAGCTCCCGGACCGGCTGGATGCGCGCTCTGACCTCCTCCCAAACCATGCAGCGGAGGAACGACTTCGGTCCCGACCGAGACAGGGTGAGTAGTGTTTGAACCGAAGCGCGTTGTCCCTCCAAAGCCCATCGGCGCTCCTCCAGGCGGCGGCTGGCTGCTGAGAGCTCTTGGGCGCCGCAGCCGCCTCCACGCTCCCCAGCTCTGCGCTCTCGCCACCGCCTTGGTAACCACTGCGGCCGCCGCAAGGAGGCTGCGTTTTCTCCAAACGCTCTCCAGGACAGCGCGTCAGAAAGCGCCAAGGCTGCTCTTCTGGGAGCGGGACGGGGAAATAAAGCCTTGCGTAGGGAAAGCTGAGAGGAAGAAAGGCACGCTCCTAGGAGAACTGGACCCGCTTGGACCCCGCTGGCAGCAATGGCTCTGCAGCTTCTATGAGCAGCTGGGAACAGGACGGACCTCGGCACAGGGTGACAAAACCGAAGCATTCGGGCTGAGGAGTACGCTTGAGACTGGGGGAGAGGCGCGGTGTCCAGCCTCTTCACATTCCTCCAAGCTCCACTTCCATCTTCCTCTATAGCCACCACCCTGTCCCCAAGCCAGGGCCCTAGCAGGCCCATCTCCAAAAATGCCTTTCTGGTGGAGAGGTCTGTCCCTGAAAGCTGGAGAGAGCCTCTACCAGCGCACTTGACGACTCCCTCCCATATCCAGAGAAGGAGGTGGTTCCAAGTGAGCCCTTCGCCCTTCTCATTCACCGTGCACCTGTTTCCTCAAGGCCGAGCTCCCCGGGGCCCCAAACCTCAGTCAAAGACAGACTGATGGGTTGCAGGTAGCTAAAGGATACGAAACTTCACTCACCCAAGGGTTCTTAGAGCAGCGTGTCAGCCGACAAACTCAGCGTCAGAATCATTGATAATAAAACATTAGTTGGGATTCGATTCCCAGTATGCCTCAAAGCACCTTGGCTTCCTTTGTATTGGTACAATGCCCCCCTCCTGGGAGTCGGACGACTGGTCTCGGGTGAGACTGGGGAGGGTGCAGAGAGGCGGGTCAGACCCACTCTCCTCTGTCTCCAGCAAGCCCAGGAGTCTCGCTCCAGGAAGAACCGGAAATGGCCTATGGTGGGAAGCCAGATCGCACCCGCCTTTATTCTAGGAGAGGTGGAGAGAGCGCCTACCGCTCAGCTCGACTGAAGGAAAAGACCATTTTAGAAATGAACCCCGCCTGTGTTGAGCAACCCTAACTGGAGCGCCTTTCATGAAAGAGGCATATGTTTGCTTTGCCTGGACATTGGAAGTCCGGGGCTACCCCGGTGTGTGTGTGTGTGTTGGGGGGGGGGGGGTGGCAGGGAGATGTCTAGCAGGAAAAGAAGTGGCCCAGGTTTCCAGGAGGCGGAATGGGAGGCTTCTGCAGGTCGTGAGAACCCAAATCCGATTTCCTGAGCAGCAGAAATACCCCACTTCCGCGGCTGTGCGCTCTCCGCCTGGACGGAAACCCCAGTACTTCCTTCTCCTCGTCCACAGAACGAGTGAAAACCCCGCATATCTCCCCAAGGAGGACTGGGGTGTGGATTCTAAAGTCATAGTGGACTGTGGGGGTGTAAGAAGAATGGGTGAGAACATGGGTCCCGGAGGCACGGGCGCCTGTTACACAGGGCCCCTGGAGGGGACCGCGGCGCCAGATCGCTCCGGGTCCTCGGAATCTTGGCAGCACCGTCTGACAGAATTTGCCTCAAAGCAAGCCGAGGGGGCGGTTCCAGAGAAGGCCGCACCATCTTGTTGGGAATTTATCCCTAACAAATACGATAGATAAAAAAAATAAAAATAAAAAAAAATAACAAACATGTCAGAGCGCAGCAAAAGACTGAGTTCTCCGGCTCTCTGGTGGGAGTTAGTCGCTGCTCATGGGGATGGCGGTCGGGACAACCAAACCCGCTGGGCTGCTGGTGAGGCGGGATCCCCGGCGAGAAGGGGGCGCTGCAGGGGTCTGGACCTGAGGCACCGCGTGGGGAGCGTTCCTTCCTTTCCTTCCGACTCGGCTCTCCGCTCTCCCCGGCACCCGTGCACCTGGCCGGAGCTCGGCAGAGACTAGGGAGCGCACGGGTAAAGTGGGGCACAGAAGGCAGAGTCCTCGCGGGGCGGAGGGTGCGGACAAGGGCTGGCGGAGCAGCAAGGTGAGGAGCGGAACAGAGCGTGGAGCTCGGACCTGCCACCCCATCCCCGCCCTGCCCCCACAGGAAGCCCCAACTGAGGTGGGCACCTGTCCAGTCCTGAGTGGAGGCCTGGGGTCCAGAGCCACGTGGATTTCTAAGAAAAAAAAAAGTTTATTTAAAATTTTGTACATAAATAAATAAATAAATATTTTCTGGTATTACAGAGACCATACAATGACAAGCTAGACCGGGTCGGGGTCGGGGTCTGGGGTCTGGGGAAGAGAGGGGTCGCCGGGAGCGGAGAGCCAGAGTCTCATTTAGGGAAACGCAAAGCGTCTCCGAAACAAAGTGAGTCGGTTTCCCCGACACGGATATCACGGGCGACGATTTCTCTCGTGGGAGAGGAGCTGCAGGGACAGCAAGGCCTGATTGAGGGACAAATGGGCCCATTGAACCTCGAGGAGGGGACGGAAAGGAAAAGAAAAACTATAACAACAAGAGTTCGCAAATGTGTGTGTATGTCTGTGGTGGGGGGGAGGCGGGGTGGATAAACGACGGCAGTGAAGAAGTGGGGACGGAGAGAAAGATGTAAAAAAAAAGGGGGGGGTGGCGAGCTGGCGTCCGAGGGGTAAGAGGCCCCGCTTGACCCAGGGTGGAGGGGAGTAGAGGACGCGAGAAAGCCTGAGCCAGTCCAGAGAGGTCAGGCGAGGAGGCGCCAGCGGCCAGCAAGGCGCAGGGTCGGCCGGCATGCCCTCCAGGGCCGCTGTGCTGCATCGCTGAGAAGGACTCCAGCGCTTGCAGGATTCACAGCTTGGAGTTCGCTTTGGACGGCTGCGGGCCCTGGGTGGGAATACCAGCGTCAGGTCTCTGCCAAGCTCTTGGCGCTGCCCAGGGCCCGGGACCTCCGCAAACCCTTGCCAAACCCGTGCGTGGCCGCGGTTTGGCAGCGGGTGCCTGGGAACCGGTGCTTCGTCCCACGACCTGTCTTTGAGACGGCAGGGAGGGCCTGGGGTGGGCGACCTGGGGAGGCGCGCGCCTAGGGAGTGACCGTGAGATCCCGGTCATCTTTCCCCGAAGAGGACGGAGACATGGGCAATTCGTCGTCATCCTCGGAGCACTTGGCTGAGGAGAGCGACGCGCATTTGCAGCTTTGCGGTGCGCCAGTGCCCCCGCCCGCGCTCCCGCCGCCGCCGCGGTGGTTGCTGCCTTTGCCCTCCTTCTTGTGCTTCACCCGGCGGTTCTGGAACCAGATCTTCACCTGCTTCTCGGACAGATTCAGGTAGGTGGCGATCTCAATGCGGCGCAGGCGGGACAGGTACATGTTAGAGGCGAACTCGCGCTCCAGCTCTAGCAGCTGCGTGCTGGTGAACGCGGTGCGCATCCTCTTGCTGCTGGGCAGCTGGTTGGAGCTGCTGTCTGGAGGGGGTGGGGTGCAGAGAGGGGAGCGATCAGACTCCTGCGCTGTGGGCCCTATCCTCTCGTACGTGACCAGTAGAATCCCGGGACTTTGGTCTTTCACCTACCTCTTTGCCCCAAACGAAACGCACAGCAGCGTTACCGCGGGCGCCTCCTTGCTAAGCCGCGGGACCCAGATACTCCCAGAGTCACGCAACCCTGGCACTACTTTCTGGAGAGCCCTGAACCTCAGTCCTCGTTCGCTCCTGCGCTCCCCCTTCGAGACCTGGACCTCCTGCCCTCCCCCTCCCTCCTGGGTCCTGTCCCAGCCCTCCATCGGCACACCACCCTATTCTCCTCAGGGCCCCAGCATGACTTTCATCGTCCCCAGGACGCCCAGGGACCCTCACCCCTCATCCCTGGCTCGCCAACTCTCATCAGGTCACCCATGCCCTGTCCCACGGCGCAGCGATTCGGCTTACCCACGGAGATGCAGTGGAACTGCCGGGGGTCGGGCAGCGGATAGGAGGTCTGGTAGAGCGCGGCGGCGGCAGCGGCGGCAGCGGGGCCGTGAGCGACCCCGGGCGACACGGCCGAGTGCTGGCGGCCTAGGGGCGCGTGGCAGTACTGCGAGCCGAAGGGCGGGAAGGATGCCTTGAGCAGAGGCAGCGCGGGCGGCCCGGGGGGCCCGTGCAGCTGCGAGGCGGTGACGCAAAGCGGGCACACGCACAGCAGCCCGGCCTTGCGCGCGTGGCAGGCGCCGGGCGAGAGGCCGTGCAGCGCGTGCGGCGGGGGCACGGCGTAGGGAAAGAGCGGCGGCGGGCTGCCCTCCGGGGCCTTCTTCTCGCCTGCCTCGCGCAGCACCAGCGAGTCCACCAGGAAGGAGCGCGGCATGGCCCCGGTGCGCGGTCGCCCTGCCGCCAGCCGTCTCCCTGCGCCCCGCGGACTTCGGGGCTCTCCACGCCCTTCCCCCGGCCGCGGCCCCGCGCTGTTGCCTGTTTGCGGGAGGCTAAAGGGGCCGCTGAGGCCGAGGCTGAAGCTGCGGCGGCTGCTGCCGCGGGCGCCGCGCGGAGAGCTCGAGGTGCTGGCCAGCGCTAGTGGTGCTGAAAGGCGCCGGCAGCGCCGCTTAAATAGGACTATTGCCATGTGATGGGCTACGCCAGGAGCGGCCGGGGCCTCTCAATAGGGTTTTTGTGCCTTTTCTCTTGGCATTCACTCTGCACGCTTCCTCATTATTTCACTTGTTAACTAAATGAACTGCATAATGTACTCTATTCTTGTCAACCCCACCCACGCCGTAACAGGCGCCCTCGCCCCCTCCTCTCCCTTTTGCGGGTTTATTTTCTCATTCTCCTGCGATTTAATATTCTTTTCTTTCTCTTTATTCCTTACTCCCCTTTGGCTTTGCATTGGCGATCGGCCGGTTTATCTTATTGATTTTGTAGCCCCGCTGCCTCGCTTCCACAGATTCCCATGGGCGCACACCTCGTCTCTGTGCGCACTGGGTCCGCGTCCCCTTCCTTCTCTCATCTACCCCTACTCCCCAAGATCATGCTTCCTCCACTCTGTTTGCTCAGGTCTGCGTTGTGCACTCCATAGGTGTCCCTATAGCCGGTCTCGGATTTCCACCTGTGGAATCCTTTCCCCTCTTCCTGCGTGGAAGGACCCGAACTCCTGCAGCGGGGAGGCGCTGCTGGGGACAGGGGAAAGGAGTTCAGTATTCCTTATCCACCACTAGCCCCAACGCTGTCTTTCAGCGCTGTTTTAAGTTTCTCCAAAAGTCTTAACTTTGATGCTGCCCTTAACGCCCAGCCTTTGTTCGGTACATACTAGTCAGCCAGACTTTTCCTTTAAATGACTGGGCTGTGGATGTATAGTGGAGAACGGCCTCTGAGAGTCACTGACAGAGACAAGGAATGGGAAATGAAAGCCTACACCGCGAAGATAGAGCACCTCACTTAGAAGAGGCGATGTAGGTGCTCTGCGGGGCACAGATCTTTTCCGGCGCTCTCTCCACTCATGCACACGTCAAAAGACTCGCGGCTGCGCTTGGAAACCATTGCCTTCCCGAAGTTTGCCCCACAGGAGCAGGGCGAAGGGCCGTTGTATTCCCAACCTCTGGTGCCTTCGCCCAACCGGGTCGACCTCCCCTGTCCCCAAGACCTCCTCCTGCCTCGTCGCTCTCTTCTTTCTGGTCACACAATGGTTAAACAACTTCAAATGCCTGGCTCTGTGTACACAGCTTCGGCCTTTTAAATAGTCCCGGGGCTCAAAGCTGCTTCACCCAGGAACTTTTTCCATACAATGGGAAATTAGCATAAATATTTCGAATTTACAGCCCCTGACTTTTCACCGAAGACGTTTACTTTCGATTTTATTGGAACCAAATCGCTCCAGTCACCTGCTCTGAGCTCTGAATGGAATTGTGAGAAATGAAGGGCGAAGCTTTTCGGAGGGGGGAATCTGTGCTCGGCAGTTAGACTGCCCCAGATTGAAGCATTTATATGGTTTTTCATCATTGGTGACATCTTTACAGTAACAATAGCAACCAATTATAACTGATTAAAAAGCAAAGAGAATTTGTTGGAGAGAAAACAACTGATTCTGTAACGAGAGGGGCAATGGGGAAAATAACCTGGATGAAGCTCATGTCGTTTAGCAGGAGGAGTAGGGCTCAATGCTTCCTTAATTGTTTGGCATGGGGGTCAGGAGATGGATGCTGCCCCCCACCCCCCCAACCCCCGCCAGAGTCTCCTCTCCAAGGCTCCCCGCCCAAGGGTGGTGCTTGCAAAGTAACCGAGTGCAACAGCGCAGCTTAATGCCAGTTCCAATTGCTCTCTGAGTAATTTGGGCTGGCCAGCACGGCTGAGAGTGAGCCAAGAGCCGGGACCAGGGCAGTAGAGGCACCCCCACTCCGGGGCAGTGGCGTGTGAGAGAGGAGTGCGGGCGGGGCTCCGCAGGGTGAAACTGCACCCCAGAGCCTGGAGCCAGCGAAGGGTGGGGTGCGGAGCTCTCTTGGGAGCCGCAGCCCGCGCCCGGGGAGGAAGGGGTTAAGAGCCCCTGAATGCGAGCAAGGCCAAAGCTACTGGGAAAGAATATGGGGGGGGGGGGAATAACCAGTTTTGTTTTTTTTTTTCCCCTCCAGCCTCTGGACCTTATTGAATGTCATTGAAGAAAGTTTTGAATGCCAGATAAAGAGAGGCGAATTAAAGTGTGTGACAGCGGAGGATAAGCAAACACAAAGAGAACTCTGTCACACTTTGGGGCAAAATCCGTGGGCTTTTTACCAAGTCTCTTCGCTATGATTGAATTAAGTAATAGGAAAACATTTTCTTTCAGTTTAGAGCCATTAGACAAAAACTTCAAAGCGAATAACACTTTTTAATGTGCGGCCCACAATGGATCGGGTTTTGTGCTGAAATGTTTAAATGGTTTGTTGTGCAACTCGGCGCGGGAGAGACCCGGGCCCAAGCAAAATAGCATCCCTGAGAGTGTTTTCGGGAGGCCTGGAAAGAACGCACACTTAATCCGCCATCGCTAAATCCGGAGGGCGCCGGCCGGAAAGGGGGCTCCTGCTTGGCGGTCCGGGACCGCGGGGCGCGCCCCAGGAATTGGGGGAATTTCGGGAAAGTACTGTGCCCGTGGAGAAGGCCGAGCAGGAGCTGAGGCGCACGGGCCGCCGGGATAACGTGCGGCCCGGCGAGGGGCGCGAGCTCGCCTGGGTGCCCAGTGCCTCTCAGCTCCGCAGCCCAGCCCCGCGGCCTCGGTCCGCCGCCTGGTTTCCGGCCGCTGCCCTCGCACCCCGGGGGACCACTCCCTGGGGACACCCTGGCTGCCGCGCTGCTTTCCTGGTGGGCGCGCCTTCCGGGGTTGGCTTCAGCTGGGTGTGAACTTTACTCGCCCGAGCAAACGCCCCCCCTTGGGCGGGGCGGGGTGAGAGGAGGCGGTGGGATTAGCCTGACAGCCCGAGAGAGGGGCCTCGGGCAGCCCCTCGGCCTGGTGGGCCCTGCTCTGCCCCCGGAGCTGGTTTTCAAGTGTCCATCAGGGACAGTTCAACATGGAATGATTTCTGTTGTCCCGCTCTTTTCTTCTCTTTCACACCGCCTCCTTTCCTGTTGGTAGAGAGAGCACGCCATTTTCCTCCTGGAAATGTCTCTCTAAGATATTTGCAGCAAATACATCTCTGCAAAAACTGCAGAAATTGGGAGGAGGGTTGGGGAATCCTTGTTCCTTTACCTTGTTCCTTTACATCTTCAAATGTCACTTTTCTTCTCAGGGAGGCCAACGACCCTGTTAAAAAATATCACTCCTTTTCCCCCACGTTCCCCACTCCCATTCCTTGCTTTACAAATACCTTCTATCTTTCTGTGTCTTTTACTTGTTTTTCTGTCTCCGCCCCCTCCCACCCCACTGAAACATATGCTCCTTTGGGGATCGGCCTATATTTGTCTATCTGGTGCATGACTGTATCCCACCTCAGAAAAGTTCCTGTCATATAGTAGGTGCTCAGTATATATTTGCTGGATAAATAAATGAATCCTGAGGCATAACTCAGGAGGTGGCATGGGTAAGAGGACTTTTTTGTTTGCCCACTTAATACACATAGGCATTTAGAGGCATGGTGTGGGGCAACTTACCTGCAGGAATTGTCTGACTGTCTTGCAGCCCCCACACCTTCTCCAGTGCCTGAACCATCACAGGAGCTCAGTGTGTTGGAGTGAATGGCAGATCTGTACGTACCCAGCTCGCCTCAGGAGTTTCTCACGTTCCTTCATAGGGTCAAGATGGTCCCATTCAAGGCAGTTGCAGTGTCCTCTCTACAGGACTTGGATGAACCTATTGGGAGCTCAAGGCTAGGGTTTATCATCCAAGGCTTTTCATGGTATACAGGAGATGGGGTTGATTAGACAGAGAAGCAATGTGGTACATGCCCTGGAATTATCAGTGACCATTTCTGCTTTTTCTGGGTTGAGGCAATGGAGTGGAAATTCTCATTGTAAGTAAGGGACTGCTCACTTAGCCAGGCCAGTAGTGGCTCAGACAACTCCCCTCGGGAGAGAGCAGCCTGTTCTCTTGATCAGAGGGGCAGGAGAACAGCTACTCTACCAGGGAATGGTGAGTGCACCTGGGAGCCAGAGTGGAGTGTGCCTTGTTGCGGGGGGGGGGGGGGGGGGGGGGAGAAGTGCCTAAACGTTGGTGTGAGCGGAAGTGGAGGCTTAGCCACAAAGGGCCATGCTACAGGTTTGTACTTGATCTTATTCAGAGATTTTTAAGCAAGGGAACTTAAGAAATATAACTGGAAGCAGTAGGAGCTCCTATAGATGGGGACACAGAGAGGCTAGAGCAGGATCCAGCAGAGTTGGCTTGCAAATGAACAATTATTGAATTCTTGAATGAACAAAAGTAGGGAAACAAGCAAAGAAAAGGTTAGTTCAAGTGATGGATAATGACCACCTGAGATCTGGAAAGGGGACATGAGGATCAGAAAGTGGAAATATTTGAGAGAATTTGATGGGGAAAATGGGTAAGACCAATTAGGTGTGTGTGTGTTTGTGTGCGTTCGTAGGTGCTGGAGGGGAAGGACATGAAAGAGGGAGGGCATCAAACACATGGGAAGGAGGCATCAAACACATGGGGAGGGAAGGAGTGGAGTCATATCAAAGGCAGAGTCAGGGAACTCAAAAGCAGGACCTACTTTTGCTTGCAGAGGTGCAACATTATATCATATTTGGATGTGTTGCTTTTGTTTTTCATTTTTTATTTATTTTTTTATTTTTAAGTAGTAAGTAATGTGGACCTTGAACTCATGACCCTGAGATCACAGTCTGAATTAGGATCAAGAGTCAGACTCTTAACTGACTAAGCCACCCTGGTGTCCCACATTTATTTTTTTT